ACTCTATCTCAATTCCTTGTAAAGCCTTTGACTCTATCTCAAGTTGCAGCACTTTGAAATAAACTTTGATGGAAAAAATCGAGGCAAAATAGTTTAATAGCAGTTTGAACTTGTAAGAGGAGGCTTTTCAGTGAAAATGGCCATTTTTCACAATATGCTCATGGGTGAAAGGGTTAAACAGCCTTATTAATATTAAAAAAACGGAGGAATTAGATTACGCCAAAAACAGCAAAATTAAAACTGCTTCAGGGTTGTTTTTTTTTTTTATTAAATTTATTCGTAGACAGCAGTGGTCGGTTTGATTGTGCCTTATCATGGACGGCAGTTGTAAGTTAAAGCTACCCTCTACGCATCTAAGTACAATGAAAATTATTAACATCTGTTCCCAATGTTTTTCTATCTATTACTATCCTTTTAAATCTCAATATAATTCTTCAAGGTATATTCAATGAATAAACATGTATTTAACAAATGAATTTTTTTTAAAAGAAATACCAAAAATGGAGAGCGACAAAGCTCCCCTTTAAAAAACAACTTCAAAACTAATATTAAATACAAAGCCATACAGAAACGCCGGTTAAGGATGTTAAAATGTGTTAGATAGACAATTCGCCAATGATAAACAAATATCTAAGTATTCCAATACATTTAGTTAATTATTGATTACTAATAATCTTAAATTTTAATATACATGTAACAGTCAATTCTCAGACTCTAGTATTATATGTATCCTAAGTTTCTATTTTCTGCTACGATAAAGCTTTACTAGTTAAATTAAGACATACTAATGTTAGTAAATTGACTCAAATAGAAACAGTAATTTCCATTTTACTTGATTATATTCTTGCAAAACAATGAACGGTATCTGAAATATTCACTTGCTGTAGGAAAGAATTTGGTCTGTACTACAGAACGTACGTTTAAGTAAATAAAGTTTACCCGAGCCTATATCTCCGGAGTTTCAGAGCCTAAACGTGCTATCTAGAGAAGTGCTTCCCTGTCCCAAACGTGATGTTTCAATTGGTTAACGGTTGTTACATGTACGAAATCTAAATAAATGTATGTTGCTATCTTTTGGGAGTATGTTTAAATATTACTCGTATTCTAAGTGTTTGTAAATGAATTGTAGAGTCTACCTTTATTTGAAGCCTGAAGTTCATTATACCTACGTTATTTTAAATTATTTCTTAATTAAATGTAATTTTCAAAGCATAAAACGTGACAAAAGGGAGATCATGTTCGCATATTCATAAATATAAATCGGACGTCGTAAATACTAACCATTGATCATATATTTTGGTGTTTTTCCTAGCCATTGTTATTCGTCTCAGAAAGATATCTGAACTTTTCCCAGTAAATCTAGATTTTCAAAACCAAAATTTATGTGAGGATCGGCATAATTGTGTAATCAAATATCTTTATTATCAGTAGGTAGGTCTGTGTTTTTTGTTTTGTAAATAGAAGATGCATTGTCTTAATTGCCTGTCGGCTTATATGTCGCCTAGCTTTAAGGAATGACCCGAACGCAGATAATGTCAAACTTAGGTTAAGGTACTTGTCTGTTATTTCAAATTCATGTTCATATAAATTAAAAGGATATGAATTTCTTTATCTAGCTCCGAATACTATTACCTTTGTTTTATCAAATTGGACTGTTAATTTCCATTGCATACAATATCAGCGTTTTTGGCGGTATTGCCAGTAATCTGCCATTTGACAAAAATTTAACAAACAAACAAACAAACAAATGATGAACGATAAAAAAAAAACAAACAAAAAACAAAACAAAAAACAATGAAATAACTGTTTAAATTGTGTGAATGTTTACGAAATAAAAACAATTCAAAATGAACACGATTATTAAACATTCTTACACTTTTTTTAAAAGTATGATTATTGTATTCCATCCACCAACTATGAAAAGCAGAATCAAAGCATGTGAGCAATTGTTTCTATATAAACAGTAGTCTCAAGCGATTAAGAAAAGATTTCTTTTTTACTGCTTCTTCACTTGCCCTTTCTGTGAAATTTCTTTCGAATTCACGCATTTTCTCTTCCATGTGTGCATTTCGCTCAGCTTCAAATTGCTCAAACTTTTGATCGAACATGAGCATTACGCTTTTGTTTAATTCTTTTTCCAAGAGCTCTGCAATTGAACAATTCTCGTTAACTACGCCCATTAACTCTATTACATGTAAAGTTAATTATAATAAGAATAGCAATTGGTATTTGATATTTTTAAATAACCTATAATAGCCTGCAAAAAAAAATCACTTACCATTCAATACTTACAAACAATATAATGCTATGTTGCTATTATTTAATGTGATAAGGTGTAGTCAATTACTTATCAAAAGATCATTATTAAAGGTCACAATTGAATATGAGAAATCTTTGAAATTTGTGGCGAGGTCAGAATACTGATGATAGCATCATTATCTATGAATAATAACACAATCAATGGTATCAAAGTATAATTTATAAATTGCTCTTTGCTTTGTATTTGATCTAAACAACCGCCTTAACAAAAAGTTCAATGTATGTCGCTTTTCCAACAGAACGTCATGACCCAATCGGGCAAAACCATGAATTAAAATTTCCTGAATTTAGGTAAGATACTTGGGTACGACCGACTCGCCAACAGTTTATAGCCGATTTAGATTGATAAATCTTTATCATTTGTCATCAGGTTTTACAATTGTACAACAACATGACATATTGATAATGTCTGCCATATGTTGCTGCTCAGATCTGAATATATGTCCCGAGGGGACCCTCCCATGGGCGGGTTCCCGAGGATGGGCGGGTCCCCGAGGGACAGATATTCGACAGAAATTTTGACATTCGGCAAAATATAAGGTTTATTTTGCCAAGATTATTGAAAGAGAAATAGGAAGAACCAATTTATGTTATTTGATGGCTATTTGTATGATATATTTGGGGCAAGGGAAACATACGGGTAAAGACAGTCAATAAAAAAGACGGATAAAGAATTAAGTTTTGGCTATAACATTATTTATTATTTTTGAAATAAAGTAATATTCACCTGAAAAATTTGAACATTCAATAACCTTTTGTAGGAATTATCGGATTCTATAGCTAACCATACTTTTTAAGATGTATAGAACAACGGTCTGTGTACAACTTAAAATAACCAGCAAACAACTTTCCTTACTAGCCTCAGTGTCAAGGTGTTAGTTACTTTCAGCTAGTTTCAAATTGAAGATTGCAGGTTCTCTATCAATTGATTTCTATATTTTCTTTCATGCTTTTTTTGTGTCGCCTCTACAGTCTGTGTGTCTGGAATACTCATAAGAGACTACTGGTACAATTAAGGAAATTATCAATACCAAATGAAGTTGTGTATATCATCGGCATTTGTTTGGCTAAATGATTTTTGTTTGAGTTATGGCCGTTACATGATTTGTATTTTTAAAATTTGTTCAAACTACTCCTCCTATATCACTAATGCAATTTCGTTCAAACTTTACATGATTCATTTGTAACTGCTCAAGTACTTGCACATATTACATGTTTCCAAGTTGAATGATTTTTTAGCTTAGTAATGGTCCTTGAACTGGTAATTTATGGATTGCTTTCAAAAACTTCAGATCTTATTTCCTTTAAATGTCGGTAATATCTTTAGTAGTAATAGTTTTCAAATAAGAAATTCTTTTTGATTAGAGCATTATTCCTTTAGTTTATTATGTCAAATCTGATGACCAGTTTTGAATGCATTGATTCAGTAAGGTTTTTTTAAAATGACAAAGGCATTTGCTGTAGCCACAGGTAAGAGAAGCCGATATTGTCAATGTTATCTCTTTCACCCAATTACATGTTTTAAAACTGTTTGAATAAAGTTTGGCCTCCTAACAGAGTGATGATAATAGTGTATTTTGTTTTGGTTAAAAGTTTTTCTTGTTTTGATTGTAATTCCGGTAGGTTTTCGACGAAGGTCGCCATAGAACATATAGAGTGGGGTACTTTCTCTAATCTTATTGGTTTGTCTACCAGGAACGAATATGATGGACAGTGGGTAAACTAGCGTAGCCTATAGGTTTTATGTCGAGCGGCAGGGGTAGTTGTTGCCTAATTGGATGAGATGTTGTTTGCTTGAGCACTTTTGTTATTGCTTTCTCTTACGCGGTTTAATGGATGTGGAGTTATCTTTCTTTGGGTTTCGGTTAACGTTTTTATTCCCCGTTTTTTGGAAAAATTCTCATGTTTTCTCTTTATTGCCGTCGCTGTAAAAAACATCAATCTCTTTGAAGGTGGTTTCCTAGGTCACTAGTTCCCCATACAAACCCGTGAAAGTCTGCCCCGTGGGCCCCAATTTATTTTGGGCCCGGGTTTTTGTCAGCATCTTTGGAACAGCCAAAATTTAAAATCATCTTCCCCGCACAATTTTTTCCTCTTTTTCATATTTTTTGTTCAGTCTGTTATGTCCTAATGTGCATAGTCTGAAGATATTATATACTATCTTGACCTCCCTGTTCAATTAGTGGATGCATCGATTCTCACTGGTCTAGGACTGGAGTGAGTGTCCTTGATTGATCTTGTTCTTGGTACGAATATTATGGGACTACAGTGGTGTTCTGACTGGTGCACTAAGTTCGCCAAAGTTGGTCAGCTTCTTCATTGCAAGGATTCCACAGTGTCTTGGGAGGGCAAAATGACAGAAGTGTTGTATGGCTTTTGCTAATTATTATGATTTGTTACTGGCCAATGTTTTCATAATCTACTGTGAATCTGTCAGAAAGGCCACTGAAGAGACATCTTCTGTAGAGTCTTTAATCAAAGAGACAGCCTTCATGAGGGCTTCAGTCTCTGCTTTGTATTTACTGCATTGCTTGCCTGTAGCAGTGAAGTGTGTTTCTTTTTTTGCCAGACGTGTATCTTAGGACCACACCCGTCCCTCCATCTTCAACAGTTCTAATGGCTGATTCATCAGTGGAGACATGCGTCTATGTGTGTGATGGGTAGTCTTGTTCTATCATAGTTTAAGACGTTTTTGGATTCTTTCGTCTTCTTGTTTTCCTTGTGTAAGTTGCAGCACAGTAAAACAGATTTTTCACTACAGACAGGTCGTTGGCAATAGGTTCCGTGATATCTTCATTGCACAAAGGGGCTGTTTCTATGACTATCTCTGACGAGTACTCTTTATTCATTCTCTTGGCTTCATGTATGAAATTTTTATGATTTTTATGTCTATATCAAAAATTTACTTGCCTTCTTTCATGTAAAGGCTGTATACCTGTTAGTTTTTCCATGAATAATAAGGGTATAGACTTGATGACCCCAGTAATAATGCAAATGGCTTGATTTTAGACATGGTCTAGAGCCTGTTGGGTAGTTTCGACTCTGATTGACCAGGTATCTTCTATCCGCTGTATACTGATTGAATTTATCTTGCTTTATTTCGCTCAAATGTTGTTCCTGTCGGCTTAACATATTACTGCTAGTTTTCTTCTTAGATATGCTTATATTTGGCTTTTGTCATTCGTTAACACAACAAGGTCGTCATCTCATCTACTTCTTATCAGGATGTTTTCTCATTCATTGACCTTGCATTATCTCTTTGCTGAACGATTCAAGGAGAACGATTATTCTTTATTTGATTGTAAAGCACCGATTCTCAAGCATTGCGATTGAGCTTTGTCTATAGCTTTGTTGCAACCGTGTACGTGACTGGTGGTGGAGCTCTGTTCTTTGCACCCAATAAAACCTGATCATTTGCATAGAGTGCTGCCAAAACATTCTTTGGCAAGTCTGTTACTAGGTCGGTGATAAAAAACAGAAGAGTGTTGGAGAAAGAATACAACCTTTTGGGACTACATGCAACAATAGGTACTTTCTACTTTTGGTTTAGTTTTGGTTTTGGTTTAGTGCAAGCTGAGTTTTGTTTGCTCTCCTGTTGTGGAGAAATGACTTGATCCATTTCAGCATGGCTCCTTCCGCTACCTTTCTAAAACATCAGGTTTACTAGAAGCTCGTCAGGCTTTGTCAAACGGTCTTTGAAGGTCTATCCATGCTGTCAAGACAACCTTCTTTTCTTGGAATGCGTCTCCAACTTCCTGTGCAAGGTATGTTCAGTGGTCTCCAGTGGAGCTGAATTGTCTGAAACCAGGTTAATATGTTGCAAGTAGATTATTGTTCTCCAGGTACCATTTAAGGCGTGTGTTCACAATCCTCTCCATTGTGTTTACTACACAACTAGTTGCCAATATTCTTTCCAAGCATTTACATTTTCTTGAGTAGAGTATCTGTGCCATTTAACAATTTAGCTTGTATGTATTTGACAGTTAATTATCTGTGTCAAGTGTGACGTGGAATGATGTCTTTGAAGTATACTGTAGAATATTTCAATGTACAAGTCGTATTTAATTTTTGAAATGTGGAAGAAACACAAAATACGAAACTTGCAAGTTTCTGTTTATGGTTAAGTGAAGATCAGATTCAACATGTGTTTTAAGAAAAAAATACGAAGTACGTTTATAAATTGATGCTATATAATAACATAGGTTAGGAACGTATATTTCTTTTCTCATGCATTTGTACCAAAGAGTTAAAATTATTCATAACACGTCATCTTATGAGAAAAACTCTCTAATTGCGGTAGACTTTTTGTTCATTTAGCTTTGGTCCACTGGAATTAATGTTAATCTGAAAACTAAAGTGTATTAAGAAAAAGAAAACAGATTATTCAAAAATATAATTGTGTAAAACTTTTTTTTCCCTATGCTATCTTCACCTTTTTTTTTCCTCTCCGTCGTGCAGCTGCACGTTGAAAGCGATCTTGCATTTTCTCATTACTCGATACTCCCTTCAAAGGTAAGTATTGCTTTTTGAACCGCTGTACATAAGTATAAACACAGACTGTCACCTATTAAACTAAACGTTTGCTTATAAATATATAAAAAAGTTGTGGGGGGAAATTTTATTTGGGTTTGTTTTTAACCGTGAAAGAATAAACGAAAGAAGTGAATTTTTGAATTATAAAATATTTATAAATCAACATGAAGAGAGAGAGAGAGAGAGAGAGATAGAGAGAGAGAGAGAGAGAGAGAGAGAGAGAGAGAGAGAGAGAGAGAGAGAGAGAGAGAGAGAGAGAGAGATGGGAGGAGAGAGAGAGAGAGAGAGAGAGAGAGAGAGAGAGACAGACAGAGACAGAGACAGAGAACAGAGAGAGAAGTGTAAATATACCTCATCTTCGTCATAGTCTTGCATTTTGCTGTGAAACAACTCTTTCATAAAATCGATATTCTGATTGTACAATTTCAAGCCTTCCTTTGAATCAAACCAAATCTCATTTTGTTTAATCATGTCCCCATGAAGCTCTTCAAGATATTCTAGTAATTTTCGTTGTACGAGTGTACTGTTTTGTTTACGAAATTCATCAGCAATTGTTTTCATTTTATTCTGAATTGTTTAAGATATTTGAATTTGTATTTGCCATTTTGTATCAAGGTTTAAACAGATATTTGACTTTATATTTTTTTGTTAAAAAAGTGAAAACATTTCTTTCCTTACGTTTATTTGTAGTATTGAAAAAGATATGAATTTTAAATACTAACTTCATTAAAACAATGTATAAAGAGTATATTTTGTATCTTTATATTTATTCTTATATACATTACTGTTTTTGCAAAATACATAATTACTGACAGATCATTACAAACATATTTAATCAGAGTTTACATGTTAGATGTATTATTGCATCTTCTACAAGTTCATTAATGGAAATTTGAAAAAGATAATACCATTGCTTTATCTTCAAATATATTCATTCTGTACGGATACATCTTCTCCCTCAACAGTTTTAGCTTTTTGTTAAGTATCTCAAATGTTTTTCCTTCTATGTCCGTTTTACGCTTCACAGGTGTATCCATTTTCTTAAGTTCAGCCTCAAATTCATGAACGAATGTGACCACAAGCTTGCTGTTGTGAAACCTGGACACCTGATCATATGCTTTCTCGTATGACAGCATTGATCCTGTTCGCATTGCAGTCACATATGTCCGCGTAAAAGATTCAAAGTCTGAAAATCATTCATAATTAGGATATCAGTTTGACGACAACTGTGTTCGTTGGATGGAAAATATTTCTCTTCTATAATTATTAATACAATTTATATAACTGATTCCATTTACGTGGCATTCTTTGGATATATTAACATCTGTATTTTGGCAAAATATTTTTGTATCCTAAAACAATGAAAGGACAACGCTTTAGAATATCATGGCGGCTGATATGTGCTATGTCGTATTTCGCTCAACGGGGCGCCAGACGAAAACACGAAAATACGAGAGTTTCTACCAAAAAATAAAGTTTTCAAGCTATCCATTGTTTCCCACTTCTATAATTTTCCAATATTCCTTTAGATATTAAATATATTAATGTCGGGATTGATATGATTTTTTGGCCGAATGCTATTTTAAATCAGTTGACTCTTGACTCTGTAATTTCTTTAAAGCAGCAAGCCTCCAGATTCATGTTAATTTTCATGAAAATATTGAAAATGTATTTAAAAGTAAAATATTGTAAAATGAACAAATAATGGATTTTACATAATGCATTTGGCACTTACAATACCAGAAAATTACCAAAAATTGGTCAACATATGCAAAAACAGCCCTTACTGTGTTAGTAACGCACTATAAATATGGTGATAAAATACTTCAAAATAGCATTGAAATGTGACATATAACTTGGATCTTGAATGTTTTTACCTTTCTTAAATTTTAGTACATTTTTCTCAATATTGATTTTCTTGAAATATTTTGGCACATCTTTCGGCTGGCGGCTTTAAGTTAATTTTTTTACTAGTGAATGTTTACTTTTAGGCCAATTATGCCGCAAAAGTACTGAGGTTTAAATTCTCAAAAACTTTTTTTTATTTTTGTGTCCTTTTACTGCATATACAAAGTTACTCATTTGCCAATTACAGGAACCATTTTTTTCATATGTTGCTTTTTCGTTAATTAGTACAGTTATAGTGAATTGGTATTTTACATGGAAGTCAAAATACTATTCTGTTACATTTTTCTACATTTGTAACAAATAATTTCACATTATCACTTCTTTTTCAGGTAACAAACAACAACATTTCTGTTAAACCATTATTTAAACATTATAAAATTCATGTTTGCATTTACTAAAGAAGTAAGAATATGTTTCTGAGGCATAATATTCATTGGATTGAGTTTTTACCAAGAAAGAATCAAATTTGAATTCGGATTTTTTTAAACCTGTTTACCTTTAAGTTTCGCACAAAAAATATATTTATAATAATATATGATATTAAAATAGTTTTTACTTACCATTACCCTTCACTGGAGCCTTTGTAACTCCATCCGTAACTTTATGTTCACATGTATACACATATTCTTGGAGACTGCCACAGTCACTTATAAATTCGTCGTTGAGTTGATAATCCTCATAATCATCAAGTTTAGCAAGCTTTTTACCTATAGCTGGTTGTGCGAGCGTGAAACATTTTCTTCTGGGAAAGTATCTTTTTATGCATTCCCTCGTTTCGTCAATTTTCATTTTGCCTTTTCCGTCTGACACTGACAAACACTTCTCAAAGTATTTATCTGGGGTTATATCTTTACCATCTTCGTCTTTTACCTCGAGGTAAAAGTCTCGGAGACACAGAATGAAAATAGGAGTAATTATTTTCATGTTATCTTCATTTTCCTCTTTGTTTAATCTGGGCAAAACTTGTACATTTCTCGACACGCGTGTTAAAAAACTGTCATATGTTAAAGGAAAACAAACGATATCAGCATAAATAAATTGCTAAGCTATAACACGAATATGTTAGCTCTACTTCTATCCATTCGTAGAACATTCTTTGATAGTTTATATGAAGAATACTTATGATCTACAGTGCGGGGCTTATTTTGACGTAAGAGCCATATTTACTTTTTGAACTTCATCAATGTTTATGCTAAGTATAAAACTCTTTTGATATTTTTTCTCTATGACTTTACTATTGATACACACTGAAAGACTATGAATCCCCGGGGCGGGGCCAATATTGCATTTCCAGGGCTAAAATTAGAATAACCTCGATGGAAGTTTGCAATACAATGAAGGCGAGGCCATTTGACTACAAGCATAATTTGAATAACTGTGATAGACGTCTACTAGACAATATTTCATGCCAAATACTTTAGCTTTAGCCTTTGTCATTTCAGAGTAAGACTTTTAAGTGTTTGCCTCATTTACATAACGAAAACTTTGACTCCCACGGGGCAGGGTCAATTTCGACCCGAGGACTATAATTCGAACAAACTTGGAACAGGTACAGACACAGTTTAAAATATTTAAACCCTAGCTTTTGTCATTTAAGATGAGAAGATATTATTTTTTTTACTATATACGAACATGTATCAGAAAAACCTATGATACCCCGGGGAAAACGATCCACTACAAATAATATCTTTAAATTGAATAAACTTAGACAGGTCCAATATACAATGTTTCGTGCAAAAAATCGTAGCTTTACCATTTGTCATTTTAGATCAAAAGTTGTTTTAGCTCACATGAGCTAGCTTACAGGATCTTTGAATGTCCATCGTCCGTCCACATACACTTGTGAATCATCTAGTTGTCACATTTTTGTTTCAGTCATCATCAAACTTTGTTTGGATGCTTGTCTAGAAAATTGCTTGGATGAGTTCACCTCTGCTGAAAAAACTAGGTCACACGAGCTAAATAATGAAAATTTCTTGTGAACACTGTTGCCAGGATGCTTGTCGAGGTAATTGTTCGAATGAGTTAGAACATTGGTTATTATGAATGCAAAAAACTAGGTCACAGGAGCTAAAAATAGAAATATTTTGTGAACACTCTAGTGGTCACATTTTTAACGCAATAATCATTAAACTTTGTCAGGATGCTTGTCTAAGTAATTGCTTGGCTGAGTTAGAACATTGGTCATTTCGGATGAACAAGGATGATTAACTAGGTCATAGAAGAATCTCGTCAACACTCTAGTGACTACTTTTTTATCCAAATATCCTGGAAATTAGTCTAGAAGTTTTGTTTTGATAATTTCTACGTCAAGTTCGAATGTGGGTCACCTGGGGTCAAAAACTAGGTCACACAGCCCGAATATGGAATAATAGCGAAGGTTGTTAACACTTTAGTGGCTACAGTATTGATCAAAATATCCTTGAAATTGGTCTGAAAGTCAGTTTTTATGATTTATAGGTCAAATTCAAATATGGGTCATAATGAGTCAACGACTAGGTTACACCGCTAAAATATAAAAAAAACCTTGTTAACACTCTAGTGGTCACATTTTTGACTCAATTGTCATCAAACTGACTTTAAATGTGGACCAGAAATGTAATTTTTGATGCCGAATTAAATTTTGATATCAAGTGACCTACTTTCGATATTAATAATATGGTTTGACCTGGTTTCTCAATGTTTGAAGTACAGACTAGAAATTTGGACCATGGAATGTAATTTCTGGTGCAGAATCGAATTTGATATCGGCTGACCTAATTTTGATATTTCTTGCTTTTTTAGGCACAGGCTTGAAATTTGAACCATGGGTGTAATTTCTAATGTCAAATTGAATTTCGATATCAGATGACCTACTTTTGATATTATTGATATAATATGACATACTTTTTTGCTTTTTGAGGTAAGACGTGAAATTTGGACCAAGAGTATGTCTGATGACGAGTTGAATTTTGATATTTTCTGACCTATTTTTGATATTTTTGATATCATTTGATCTACTTACTTGTTTTTGACATATAGACTTGAAATTTGGACCAGGGGTGTTTTATCTGATGCTGAATTAAATTTTGATATCAGCTGACCTTTTTCTGATAGTATACATATAACATATGACGCTTTTCCAACCTGAGGTGTAGCCAATGTTAACACTAGAGTAAAAACATTAGCACCTTTTGTGGAGGACATATAGATAATATATAAAAGCGATATGTTTTGTTCTTTTTAACAAGAAGATTTTTTTTTAATTTGCAGGTTTAATTAATCTTTACTAAATGGCCCTGGTATCTACTTATGTTACATTAGAGAATTACTTGAAATTAAGGCCATGATCATTTCTGTGAAGTTTGGGTAATTTGCAGTAATAAGTGAAAAATGACATGGTGTTTAATGAAATTGTTACCGCACGACGCACAACTCCCGACGACGGTTCAATGTATGACTAAAATTAATTATTATAAAACATGAAATAAAGCATAGAAAATGAACAGTACTAAACAAATAACTGTCAATGTCAAACTCTTTAAGATATTCTGATAAAAGCAATAAAACAATATTGACAATGAAACGCCTCAAAACGAAACATTATTCATTCAAACAATACATTTTAAGTACTTTTAATTATATTTCGGAAAATTATCCGAGACCATTGTGCTACCGTAATGATTGCTTTGCAGGCGGCAATGGAATTATAATTTGTCATTGTTATTAGACATTTATGCTGAGTTTCAGTACAATTTTAAAAAATAATTGTTAAATGAAATTAAGAGATATCAATAAATGACTTCATTTTAAGGAATAAATGGACCAGGTTGATTTAACAAGGAGCCTCATTATCCAATTCTTATATGAATTTTTGCAATCAATGTTATATGATTTTAGACAGAAGGACTGGCGTGCAAGGCAATATCAGTATCCATTAATCCACATTTGTATTTGAGATGAATCGACAAAAATTAAGTTGTGCATATTTCAGGTATATTATGCTTTGACATTTTTGACAGTTTCGGATAATGAGAAAATTCTTCTTGGAGCAAATTGAATAACATTTTATTTCCCCTACTTCACTCAAAAGTATCATCAAATGCGTAATTGCACACTTTATTTGCAGGATGATACATTTTAGCTTATCTGAGCTTAAAGTACTGTACGTCTTTGAATATCGCATTATTTTCCGTCGCCCTTGTGCCAAGAGCAAAGATATTTTGTTAACTTTATTTTTACATGAAGTCTACATGGTGCCAAAATATATCCCTAGGTCACGGGGTCGTAACAATTAATAGTGCAGAAAATCAGAGTTTAAAGATATTTTCCGAGATTCCGCTAAGTATAATTTGTATGAGGGATAACATCATGGTCCTATATAACAAATTGTTCTTTTTTTTTTGAATTTGCTTCATCCTCTGATTCACTAAGTTGAATTAATTTTGGAAAACACATTTAATGCATTTTTCCCCTGTCATTAGATATTTGGCACATCGCCTCGTCTAGTCGATCTCTTCACAAGTTACATAATTCATAGATTTTGATGAAGAGACACCGCTCCCGCTATGAAACCCTGCATGACGTTTTAGCTCACCTGTCACAAAGTGACAGGGTGAGCTTTTGTGATCGCTTTTCGTCCGGCGTCCGTCCGTCGTCCGTCCGTCGTCCGTCCGTCCGTAAACTTTTACTTTAAATGACATCTCCTCATAAACCACTAAGCCAATTTCATCCAAACTTCACAGGAATGTTCCTTTGGTGGTCACCTTTAAAAATTGTTCAAAGAATTTAATTCCATGCAGAACTCTGGTTGCCATGGCAACCGAAAGAAAAAACTTTAAATATCTTCTTTTAAAAAACCATAAGAGCTATAGCTTAGATATTTGGCATGAAACATCTTCTAGTGAGTGTCTACCAAGTTTGTTCAAATAAAAGCCCTGGGGTCAAAATTGATTTTCCCTATATGCATATAGTAAAAACTTAAAAAATCTTCTTTTAAAGAACCCAAAGAGCTAGAGCTAAGATATTTAGCATGAAACATGTTCTAATAAGTGTCTACCAAGTTTGTTCAAATAAAAGCCCTGGGGTCAAAATTGGCCCCGCCCCGGGGGGTCATTGATTTTCCCTATATGCATACAGTAAAAACTTAAAAAATCTTCTTTTAAAGAACTCAAAGAGCTATGGCTAAGATATTGAGCATCAAACATGTTCTAATAGTTGTCTACCAAGTTTGTTCAAATAAAAGCCCTGGGGTCAAAATTAGCCCCGCCCCAGGGGATCATTGATTTTCCCTATATGCATATAGTAAAAATTTAAAAAAACTTCTTTTAAAGAACCAAAAGAGTTAGAGCTAAGATATTTAGCATGAAACATGTTCTAATAAGTGTTTACCAAGTTTGTTCAAATAAAAGCCCTGGGGTCAAAATTGGCCCCGCCCCGGGGGTCATTGATTTTCCCTATATGCATATAGTAAAAACTTAAAAAATCTTCTTTTAAAGAACTCAAAGAGCTATGGCTAAGATATTTAGCATGAAACATGTTCTTATAAGTGTCTACCAAGTTTGTTCAAATAAAAGCCCTGGGGTCAAAATTGGCCCCGCCCCGGGGTCATTGATTTTCCCTATTTGCATAATTAGTAAAAACTTAAAAAATCTTCTTTTAAAGAACTCAAAGAGCTATGGCTAAGATATTTGGCATCAAACATGTTCTAATAGGTGTCTACCAAGTTTGTTCAAATAAAAGCCCTGGGGTCAAAATTGGCACCGCCCCGGGAGTCATTGATTTTCCTTATATGTGAATAGCAAAAATCTTCTTTGAAAAAACCCAAATAGCTAGAGTTAAGATATTAAGCATGAAACATCTTTTAGTGAGTGTCTACAAAGTTTGTTCAAATAAAAGACCTGGGGTCAAAATTGGCCCCGCCCCGGGGGTCATTGATTTTCTTTATATGTGTAAAGCAAAAACTTAAAATCTTCTTTGAAAAACCCAAATAGCTAAAGTTTAGATATTAAGCATGAAACATCTTCTAGTAAGTGTCTACAAAGTTTGTTCAAATAAAAGCCCTGTGGTCAAAACTGGCCCGGCCCCAGGGGTGTCATTGTTTTTAACCATATGTGTATAGTGTAACTTAAAAAAAATCTTCTTTTAAAGAGCCCAATGAGCTAGAGCTTAAATGTTTAGCATGAAACATCTTCTTATGGGTGTCTACCAAGTCTGTGCAAATAAAAGCCCTTGGGTTAAATTGGCCCTGCAACAGGGGGGGAGGGGTGTTTTTGGTTGGGGGGGGGGGGGCTATATACAGGTGAGCGACCTCAGGGCCATCATTGCCCTCTTGTTTATTTGAATTTGCACTCAAAGAGAATAAGTGTACTTATACGCGTACACTTTTGACAGTATTGCCCTCAGAGGAATAATATAGATATTTGAGCTTCTTATTTGAAAACTGGATTTATAAAGGTATAACTGAATGTATATATCTGATCATGGTGTTGTCTATCAAAATAAGAATCAATAAGTCTTACTAAACAAGCAAATTCGTTGAATTTATATCCCCCGCCGAGTACTGGTTATTATCAACACAACAACTGAAGACATAAGGCTTTATTTATATATTAATCATGGCATAAACAGTAATATTATTTGAACTTGATAAATATTCAGGGCAATAACAGAGCCATAATTTTGTGTTAAATAGTAGATCTGGAAATGCCAATGAGATGTATGCATACTTTATAACTAATCAAGGGCCATAAATCTGAGTTATAAGTATCTGACCGGGAACAAGGCGACTATATGCACATCTCCTCTTAGTATCCAATAAGTTTCATTGAATTCCAGTAGAAGCAGAGAAGTAGTGAGGAAACCAATATTTTTCTATATGGAAACTGCATAACTAATCAAGGGCCATAACTCTGAGTTAAAGTGTCTGACCGGAACAAGCCGACGATATGCCCATCTCCTCTTGGTATTGAAGGTTCCCATAAAGTTTCGTTGAATTACAGCCGGTAGTTGCAGAGAAGTAGCGCGGAAACGATTTTTACTCCATATGCATACTGCATAACTAATCAAGGGCCATAACTCTGAGTTAAAGTGTCTGACCGGAACAAGCCAACGATATGCGCATCTCCTCTTGGTATTGATGGTTCCCATAAAGTTTCGTTGAATTCCAGCCAGTAGTTGCAGAGAAGTAGCGCGGAAACTATTTTTACTCTATATGCATACTACATAACTAATCAAGGGCCATAACTCTGAGTTAAAGTGTCTGACCGGAACAAGCCGACGATATGCGCATTTCCTTTTGATATTGATGATTCCTTTAAAGTTTCATTGAATTCCAGCCAGTAGTTGCAGAGAACTACTCCAGAAACGATTTTTACTCCATATGCATATTGCATTAACTAATCAAGGGCCATAACTGTAAGTTAAAGTGTCTGACCGGAACAAGCCGACGATATGCGCATTTCCTCTTGGTATTGAAGGTTCCCATAAAATTTCGTTGAATTCCAGCCAGTAGTTGCAGAGAAGTAGCGCGGAAACGATTTTTACTCCATATGCATACTGCATAACTAATCAAGGGCCATAACTCTAAGTTAAAGGGTCGGACCGAAACAAGCCGACGATATGCGCATCTCCTCTTGATATTGATGATTCCCATAAAGTTTCGTTGAATTCCAGCCAGTAGTTGCAGAGAACTACTCCGGAAACGAAATTCGGACGAACGGATGGACGAACGGACGGACGGAAGGACGGATGGACGGACGGACACGCAAAACTATATCCCCCTCCCGATTCCATCGGCGAGGGATAAAAACTGACTGGGAAATGGTCAGATAGATTGCAAAAATATAAGACGTCGTAGGGGTCTAAAATAAAGAGAGAGAAAAATTCATAATGTTCTAAAAGGATACGCTAATTTGTCAACAGCATCTTGATTGAAAACACCAATGTTGTTGTAAATGAGGGTGCTACTTAGTAGCATTGTTAAACTAAACATCTTGTTGTCATGATCAGTGTCCCCCTGAAATGAAATCATTTTAAAGTCACAAATCACCGGAAAAACATTATAGTAAGAGTCTCATACTAAACACCTTTTTGTAACAAATAAAATTCAAATTTTATGTTTGAAACTGTAGGTAAATTCATTAAAATGTTAAAGGCCACATTTGAATTAATCATTATGTCGGTTTTGCTATAAATGCTGTTTTGTCAAAGAATCTATTTTATTTAATAAGTAAAAACATATGACAATTTTTTAAGCGAATTTAAATTATTTGACATTGGCGGTCAAGATCAAATAAGGTTAATGTCATATCAGAATTGTTCAAAATGTCTGTTTGGTCATATATGTTCTTCTGTCCAAGTATATTTTAAATCTGGTAAATAATTACACATTTATGACAATTTCATACATTTTCAATAAGTAGAAAATGACTGTCAAGGTGAAATAAAGTTTACATTCATGTCAGAATAACTCAACATCTCTATTTTTCCGTTATTTTGTCAAAGTATGAATCTAATATGTGAACAAATGAAATTTTATGACAATTTAAGCAAATGGACCTTGTCGGACAATGTCAATTAAAGTTCAAAGTCATATCAAAATACACCATGTCAGATTGGTCATATGATCTTTTATCAAAGTATGGATCACATCTGGAAGTATATAAAAAAGATATGACAATTTAAGCAAATTGTAACAATTTGACATTGACGGTCAATGTCAATTTAAGTTCAAGCTAATATCAAAACAACTGAATATGTCGCTTTTGCCAAATGTGTTAAATTATATAACAGAACTATAGTGTTATTTTTTTAGTATAAATCAAATACAAAAATAAATAACACTGATATTGCAAATTGTAGTCATATTCACTAATTTAACATTAAGTGTCAAGGTCAAAGCAAATTCACGGTCATGTTCAATTAAATCTTCTGTAATATAATGATATATTGTTTTTGATTGTTGTGTACACACTTGAAGACAATACGTTCAATTATTACAAAGGTACAGCCAATTATAGCGAAAATTATAAAAATTACAATAATAATTACCTTTAAAGTCAAGGTAATACATATTGGTCAAAGTCAAATTGAGATTAGTTTTCCTTAATAATCGTCCATTAGGTAGTTGTGCTTAAGAATTTTGAAAATCCATTGTTTTATTGCAACTTCCGAGCTAGTGCATGTCGCCAAAACTAGTTGTCAACAAAGTTAATGTGTTATGTATATTTTTTGTAATCCTTGCATCAAATATTGAGAATATCAAAGAATGCTATGACATGTAGATGTGATTAGAATTTCACGAAACCATGTCGTTGATTAGTTAATGTTTTAATTGAAGGTACAGTACATTTCCCAGTTAACAAATTTGAAATTGTTATGGACAGTTCCGTTACGAAAGGGTTGTTATTGGTCCATACGTTTTGATTAAAGAGCGATTTAGATAAAAAAAAACCAAATACGTTTTGAATTTCGTCAACAATGCAATTAAAATCTTTTTCTGAGCCGAAAATTAGTTTTTTTAACAAAATATATATTTATTTTTTCGAGAGTGCTTCTCGTGAAGGAGGTAGCTTCCATGTCACAAAGGCTTTATTGTAATAGGTTTATATAATTATTCTATTTGTGCGACTTTTATTTCTGTAGTTTTCATTTATTTTCTCATCGCGAAATGAAACGAACATTTGATGGGAAATAAACATATACAACCATAAATACTTAAATTATGCGATCTTAAATCAAACATGCGACATATATGTTGTAGTTATAAATAATCATGGACAAAGATCTATAGGCTGGTACAAAAAGTAAGGAAGGAAATTAACCGTTTGACTGTGCGTGAGGATTCATACCATGTTTGCTGATGATTGTTTTATATTCGCAAGAGTGAAAGCGTTTCATTTTCAGATGTAACATGGCACTACTTCAGAATGAATTATAAAGTATCAAAAGGGTGAAGTGTCTTTTCATCAAAACACAGGATGAAAAAATACACAATCAATTTCTTAACAAGAACGCAGCATATGCCAATTGTTCTGAAAGATTTAAAATGCAAGCATGTTTTACCCGTCATAAAGGATACGTCTGTAAATAAACCTACAGCCCAGAGCTACAGAGCTATCTACTTGGATACATGACTTCCTCCTTCACGACATAATATTCTAGACGAACTAATATTATGAATGTCTTTTAAAACTAAATTTTGGTTCTGATTTGACTTTTTTTCCATTCTTGACTTAACAACGACTTGAAACGTATTCGTTTTTAATCTAAACTGCTGTGTAAAGAAAGCAAGAAGAAAAAGCATTATTTTCTGATGAAATCGTCCATTTTAATACTTAATTCTCTATCTAATGTGAAACGCCGCCACAGATCATATTCTTACATGAATCCAATTTCTTAACTTTTGCTGGAAACAATAGTCAATAGTTTACATGGCATTCATGGCTTTTTTGTTGTTATTTTTATATTCGATGTAATGCTTACAAAAATAATATAACAAAAGAAAATTATATCTTTGTTGACAATAAAATTCGGCGACATACGCTACTTCAGAATTATCGACAGAGCGATGCATCGTATACCTCCATTTGAGGTATTTCTTTTGTTTACCGGGCGTGCAGTTATAACAATAATCAATTCTTTTAAGGTTTTTTTTAAAGGATCAAAGTGTCCCATCATAAAGACAACTCATTCAAAAACAACAAAAATTAAACATTGGTAATTTATTTTTATCAATGGCTCAAAGTATGTTCGATACTGATCACGTAAAAATGCTAGATTACATATGGAACAATTTATCAAATAATGGCATTATATTAACTAAAATTAATGGTGATTTGTTTTTCATACATAATACTGAATTACATCTTTTTTACCTTTTTTATTTATAAAAAGATAATTCTCAAATAAGCACATTAAGATGTACAAAAATATAAGCCAATGTATTTACAATTCAATTTAATTTAGATATAAGTAGAGTAATACCTTGGCTACATCTCCTAAACCTTCTGTATCAAGTAAAAGTAAAACTTGATCTTTTTGTGTTGGGTGAGGTTTACACCAGGCCCAAATACCCTTTGTCTCAGACCGAACTGTGCTCCCCAGTGCAAATCCTTTGTTTCAACAGAAGAAGAAAAAAGCAAAATAACGCAAAAAAGTAGTGAAACAATAATTAAAGAATACAAAAGTGAAATAGCAACATAATAACATATCCGACTTGATTTTACTTGTAATACTAATAAACAACCTTTAAAAATGTAGTTCATATAGCTATAATACCGGTATATAACAATTTTCAAAGTAGAAAATAGAACATATCCTTTAAGGAAAAATAAAACATTTTTATATACTACACTCATTGATTTGCACTCTCTTACTGTAGTCTGCACTTTTGATATTGTTATCGGCCATATCTTATAATCTTTTCAGTCATTTACTTATCTCTAAAGTCATTTTAAGCGGATAAAATATAATAGTTTGACGTGTAGATTTTGGATAGGTAAATACAGAGTAAAAATTTAAGTCTGCATATATGGAGAGAATAATAAATTCTTTTTTGTTTTGAAATAGATATCAATGATGTTCTTTACAAAACAACATTGCCAAAACAAGTGTTCGATAGTTTCAATTTCATTTTTTACAAAAGGTACAAAGAGGATTATCATTATATTTGATTTTTATGTAAATAATAGTTTGTGCCAATGATTCTATGAAGAATCCTTATTTGAAACCACTGTATCCTAGAATCTTTTGTTATTTTAAATGTAGATCAAGCTCTTGCATCCAGGTTGTTTTATTTGTTGGTTGCGTGTTATTAGTATTCAATAAATTGTAAATTTGTTTTGATCCTTTACGTCATTCATACTAAAATTGAAAAGAAATGAAAACAATATTTTGTTCATTTATTGATTTCTCTGCAGCGTTTGATTCAGTTTGGCGCGCAGTTCTATGGAGGAAACTCTCTGATATTGGCATTACAGGAAAAATTCTTTCTGTCATCCAAACTATGTATTCTAATATTAAATATTGTATAAACTCTGAAGGTCAAACATCTGCTTTTTTCTCAAGTTCTAAGACAATGCGAGAATTTATCGCCGGTGCTCTTCTCAATCTACCTAAATGACCTAGAGTTAGCCCTTAATAAGGACAATAATGGACCCACAATTGACGCTACAACCAAGTTTTTGAAAATATTAATATAACTATATGCAGACGACACGGTCGTAATAGGCGAAAATCAGGAATCATTCCAGTCCTGTCTCAATGATTTCCACAAATATTGCGAGACTTGGAAATTAAATATAAACTTTCAGAAAACTAAGGTACCGGTAGTTGTCTTTGACACAAATAAACCCAAGTCATACACTTTCAATATAAATGGTCAATCAATCGAAACAGTAACGGAATATAAGTATCTAGGTGTTATTTTCACTAGCTCTGGTTCATTTCTTGCGTGTAGGAAACACCTAGTTTCACAAGCAAACAAAGCCATGAATGTTCTATATATGAGAACTTCCCTAAGACCTACAAATAAAGTTATTCGACCATACAGTGCTCCCCATTCTTACATTTGGAAGTGAAATATGGGGGTTCGAAAATTTAAATATCATAGAACAAGTCCATTCCAATTTTTTACGCAAGACTACTTATACCAGAAAAAGTACTCCTAGGTACATGTTATATGCTGTACTTGGGCGCTATTCTATCGAAATATGTGTTATAACTTATAAGTATATGATACAGTCTAACCAAAACTTTAAATGGATCAACTATGTTAAAAGTATACTTAACTCTACAGGTAATTCTATTTTATGGTTAAATCAAAATAATATCCAAGCTAAATGTATTAACAAATTGGTTAAACAAACATTAATCGACCAAAATAAACAAGAATGGTTCTCACAACTAGAAAACTCGCATAAAGGTAGACTCTATGGTAGTTTTAAAAACAGTTTTAATAAAGAATATTATTTAAATATTCTCCCTACCCCCTTAGGTTATCTCTTTTGCATTTCCGAACTGCTAACCATCGTTTCCCAGTAGAAACGGGTCGTTAGAGTCAATCTTTTAAATCTCATGAGCAAAGAAAGTGCCAAAATATAACTCGGGGGACATCGGCGATGAGATGCATTATCTGTTAATATGCCCTTTTTTCAGAACTAAAAGAAGACAGCTAATACCAGAGAGATTCTATATTAGACCAACTATACTGAAATTTAAGGAACTACTTAACACAAATGGTAGCCAGACCCTAACAAACCTTATATGTTAAATATATCATGAAAAAAATTAACGATTAATAACAATTACATGAACTGAATTATTTTACATACCTGGTGATTGTTAATCCTAATTATCCCCATCTTTATGTGTTTGTTTTTGCTTTTCTTTCATTGTCATTACAATTACACATTTATGAATAGACTGTCTCAATGCAATTTTACAACTGACCAATGAAACTTTACACATAGTCTATTTATAGATATGTCACGGAAACCCCGTGCTGCAATGTTATTGTTATGTTTTTCCCAGGTCAGCTTGGTTGTACATACGCCAAAATTAAAATTATTGGTTACTTCATTCATAAATTTACTGTATGTTCACTGACTTTTCTCCTTTTTTTATTGTTGTTAGCATATTAAGAACTCAAAACTTTGTTTTTTCACCTCTTTCAAATAACTACTTCAAATATTGTCCGCTTTCCCCATCGAATACAGAAACACTAAAACCCAAAACATAATTAATTAGAATATTTTTGATCATGTTGTTACCCATACTAATTATTTATGCCACTTTCCGTTCACATGTTATTGCTTGATACATGTTAAATGTGTATTATGTAATCTGTGACAATTGAAAATAAAGCGATTTGTATTGTTTTTGTATTGTATTGTATTGAATTTTTCATCATTTCATTAATCATTTTTTTAATTCCATGAAAGATTAAAAGTTTGCATTAAACCTGAATATGTTATTAAAATATTCTAATGAAAGAAAAGCACAGTAAATATAAACATATCTCCGATATAATATACAGCGGCTTTAAACCATGAATGAAAAATATAATTTAATAAGCAATTTATTGTTATAAAACAATGGTAGTTCTGCGAAGGATTCGTTATTTATAGGATACTTATCGATATATGTAGATAAAGCATTAAAAGTGTCTTTCAAAAAAAACCAAAAAAACAAAAAAAACAACAAAAAAAACACAACGTTTGAAGTGCTTTTTGCAATTTTATATATGTAAAATTTTCCACAATGAAATAAAATTTTGCATATCAAATTCATTTACAATAATGTTCTTCCAACAGGCATCGCTAATTTAAGATTATGTTATTTCGATATTTTTTCAAAATCAATTAAAAGAAGAAGAAGACCAGGGATATCTTTCATAATGCAAAATGTCGTACATAAGAATTTTCTCCAATATATCTACCCTTAATAAATCTGGTTTATTTTGTTTAATAATTTGTTTAAAGTTTTTTTTTATTCTATTTGCAATGACTCCAGAAGCAATTTTATAAACTGTATTTAAAAGAGTTAAGGCGCTTCAATTATTGAAAAAATCTTTTGGTGTATTGTCGTTAGGAACATGTAATTTTTTCCTGTGTTTGAGTTAGGGAAAGTTTGCGGGATTAATATGCGTTATTAATTATTCCAACGACATAAACTCCTTTTTTCCTAAAAGCTTTGTAAAAATCTGCGCTGAAACCAGAAGATCCTTGACTTTTATTATGTGTCATGTTATGTAAAAATATTGTTGCTTCATGACAGTTTATTTGACGGTCTAAAGCATTTGATTCTGTTGGACTTAATACATGTGCGTCTATGTTTGAAATAAAATTATCAAAGGAATCGTCGTTTTCATTGTTTATTTTCGCCATAAATAGGTTTTGATAATATTTGTCTTATTCTTCGAGAATTGCTGTTTGTTCTGTAACAATTGTTCCGTCATCCTTTTGAATTTTATAAATAGTTTTAAAAGTGTATTTTTCTCTTAGCTGCAAAAGTACAGTCACCTTCAAGAATCTACTTAACTCTTGAACGAATAAGATAGCCCTACAATTGCAAATCATTTCAATTATGTAGCTCTGTTTGAAAGTCCCGAAGGTGCGTCATTTATCTTCAGTTAAATCGGCTTCTAAATCATTTATTTCGTTCGTGATATTTTCTTTGTTCAAATTAGTTTTCTTCTTTCATTACTACTATGTGATTTAGATAACCCTCGCAATTCCATTAAAAGAGTTTCTAAAAAGAATTGATCATTTATTGTAACATTAAAACTTGCAATGCATATTGTTTTTCATTTCGTTACCGGGGTATTTTTTTCGTTTATGGTATTTCAATAGTTAATGTCCTTTAATAATGAATTAATGAATTATGTGTTTCCACAGGCCATTGCCATGTTTAAAGTCATTATTTTTTGTTCTAATATTACAATAGAATGGTCCGATTTGTAGCTTGTAGTTATGAAAAATTGTTCTCCAAAGTGGAACAAAGTTTAAGTTATTAAGAATAAATCTAGTCTTGCTTGCTGAAGAGGCGAGCGTTTTCACAATGTATATCGTCTTAAAGTTGGATAAAACTCTCTAAACCGGCCAACCATATCTTTCACCTATCTTAAACCGGATCTCTAGCTTTACTGTTATTAATATTTGTGTAGTTAAAGTAGTCTTTGAATGGGTCTAACACTCAATTATAATCATCCCTTAATATATATGAATCATTCCCTATCATGTCAATTAAACTGAATATTTTATTAAACAATTCGCGTTTATCAGTATTTGGACCATAAAAAATTACTAGAGTAATCTTCTTTCCCTCAATAGTTAAGACGATAATACATTAATTAGTTATCAAGTTAAGCAAATTATAGCAAAAGTCATTGAAAATTCAATAATTTTACTTCTAAGGTCAGGTCATAAATGAACCACGGTCGATTTGAGTTTAAGTTACACAACAGTCATATCCTTACGAAAGTTCTGTCTTACTATGAAGTTAATCCATTCAAAAATAACAAAGATATAGGCAGCTACAGATAAAGAACAAGCTGAATTCATTGATTTTACATACACGGTCGAAGACAATTAAGGTTAAGGCTACATCTTAATTATTGAAATAGTTTGTTTGGTAGCGAGTCTTGTTTGTCCAAGTTTAACTCAATCCGTACAAAAATAGTAAAATTATGACCATTTAACCAAAATTAAATAACATTATTGACGGCCTTGTCCAAAAGGTTTTTATGTCAAAGTATGCTGATAAATTCATTGATTAAGTACCTAGTCAATTATTGCCAAAGTCAGTGACAATTTAATTATTTGACCTTCAAGGTCTAGTCCATTTATAAGTGTATGGTTACATTGAATGTGTATCCTAGAAATTTGTTATGTTCAAAGTTGAAGACAATCCATTATAAAAAAACAACCTTTATGACTGTAACAATACCCCTATATTTTTTAAGAAAAATAATCGATCTGACAAATCGGCGACCAGGGTACACAATTAACTTCCATAGAAATACCTATGATCTGTTCAATAGGGTATTACCACATCTTACATAAATGTTGATTAAATGAAAAGAGAGTAAAGTTCGTCACAGTCCACATGGTATAATACATACAATAACGCATTATACTTATAATTGAATACCGATTTGTGTTTTTGTTTTCTAACACAATAGTATGTAATCAATAAAAATTAGCATAAATTAAGTTTTATTTGTGCGAATTTAAATTACGTATAAACCACAGGGGTACATTGTTCATACACATTATCGAAAGAAAGACACAAACACAAAGATACCTTTCCTTTCGTTCGCCAACCTGTTCATCAGATACGACTTTCCTGTCCTATATAGACCACATACAGCAACGACATTTAGCGTTACATCTATACTACTTATCTGTGCCATAACATTTTCAGAAATTTTGAGGTTGTTGTCTCTGTCAGAGTAGATAAACAACAAAGGCTTTTTGAATACTTCTAGCCTGCCAAATCTGAAAAAAAAACTTTATGAATGACCTCGATACGGTTACACTTATGAAATAACAACATTTAAATAAATACTACCTTAAGAGCAAATGACATCTGCTCAAGATTTAGACTCTACTCAAAACAGCAGCATAGTAATGCTACTAACACCAATCATTTGTTAAAACAGATATTTTATGTTACAAAACTTTAGAAAATCGACCGATATATGATGGAAACACTGTTAATAATTTTATTATAATATTTCATGAAAATATACCCTACCAAAACAATTTTGATATATACAACATTCACAGTTATAGCAAAACGGTCAAAATTCATCATTGAACAGAAATACACAGGATTTATTATCGTTTTCTTGTACAACGTGCTGGTAGAGGAATACAGAAGATCACAGAATATCCAAATAGTATTGTCACGTAGCGGGTAAAATAAAGTACTAGCGTTGCGGTTTTAAACAGTTTATTTTCAAGTTCACTCTAGACTTCAATCTTAGACTTCTTAGCCTTCTCTCCGCTAATGACCATTCTGTCATGTCATGAGTATATATAGAGAGGTTAATTGGCAACTAGTAAAACACATTTTTCAGTAATTTCATATACATGCATTTTGTTTGTGCCATACGTTAATAATGTTACTAATAATAGATTGAAATTACAGCTATTGATGATTTGTTGTGATATATTCATAATGAAATATTCGAATCACTACAACAATTCAAGTATTCAAAAATTTAAGTATTGAATGTAAATATTAAATAAATTACAATGTAAGCCAATTTATACATGAACATCAAATACCAATCAAGTGCAATTAACGTCATATGATGCTTAGATGTCAGCATCTACTTTCATCAGTTCCAATATAAACAATATATACCTTATATGTATTGACATGTATAACAACTCTTAAATTAGATAATACATGTATGTATCTATAGAAATTCAAATAATTGTAGCACATATAGTTAAAAGGAATCAACTAACTGATTAAAATAATTAATTAATTAACATTAAAGTGTGGTCCCCTAGTATCAAACACATAGGGACACGAATAAACTGATTTGGTTCTGATATTTGTCGTTCTGTCTGGCCTCAGTATGTAATACTTTATTAAAGAAATCATGTTATTATTTGTTATTACATCTAAATTTTAACCATTATACCCTTATGAACTTTAGCTTGACATATGATAAGAGATATACCAACCTGCACTTAAACCTGTTTTGAAAAGCCATCCCAGACTATATCAAAATAATTGTTTTTTCCTTCTTAAAATTGCTTTTTTGTATGTATGATGCAATAGATTATGCAACATAAATCACGTTTTCTCGCCGATTTTGAATAAATATGATACGCAAAATGATTTCATATATCAAAATTAACTAGAACAGTAAGAAATGTTATTTCATATTTTTATTGTACTATCATCAGCCATGTTCTCATATATATTCTACAATAGGGCTTTAGTATTGCGCACTGACTCTTAATGACAAGGAACAATAAATAATGAAAAAAAGACCGATGTCTTAATCTTAAACTGATATCCCAGATGGATCATTTCAAATTTGTTTATAGAAATCAAGAAGCTATCGTTTTGACAAATGCCGATTTCATTTGGCATAACATATAGTCTGTAAAGTGTAATTGAGGCATTACCAAGTTTCGGTCTTTTTTTGTATCGAATTGGCCAGTGTCAAATATACAAGTAAGGGACCATTTTGAAATCGAAGTTGATATTTGAGTTTTCAAATATTAAAGTTGCTATCTTTCAAGTTTAACTAGCTAGTATTGCATAAGAACATTGATTATTGTGGTGTTTGAGCCATACATTTTGAGGCAGTACCTGTCAGATTCGAATGTATGATCAAATGGAGCAGTTGACTAAAAAAATCAGACTTTTTACTTAAAGGGTATGCAAAAACCTTAAAATAGTGAATAAAAGAAGTGCACCTCTCCCGTTTGGATTTTATTTTCCGATTGTGCATTGTTAAGAAGGAAGAAACAATGAAGAAATATTGTGCTTTTAATTATTGATGTTGATATATTTTGCATAGTTTTTAAATAGCTTGTTCCTTCACAAGTTACGGTATCAATTTAACAAGGATGTCACAAGGATGTCCTTTCTAAGAAAAGCAAACTGCAGTTAATCTTTTCTAAAATTATTGATTTTTACATACAACTTATTCTCAAAATATTGTAGTTATCGTTAAATTTCACGGTGACAGTGATCATATTAACTCTCAGGAAACATCTGCTGACAATGAGCAATGTCATTTTAAGTAATATGAAATTCATTTCTCCTACAATATTTGATTGGGCATGGATTTCACTTTCAGTGCCACTGTGACTTTTTCCTTTGATGATATGGCCTCAAATTCATACAGATGATCTCTTTGCCATCTCATCCCTAATAAGCATTGTTTATTTCGTCTTAAATTATCGATTTTACAAAGATTTCACATTTAGTTTCATTGTGCATAGCTAATGCAGCAGCACTTACTTCTGACTTGGTGACCAAACATTTAACACGGGTCAGTTACTATTGGCCATGTGCGATAACCATATAAACATTCAGTTCCAAGTAATATAAAATAAAGATTGACTGTGACCTCGACCATGAAAGGTTCATCTAATAACTAAGGATAATGTCCCTACAAAATAGCATCAACTATGACTTCCAAACTAATTATCGGGCAAGGATTTTACATCTAGTGACAGCTCGACCATAACCTTTAACCTTATAACTTTTAAATAATCAACTAGCTATTTTCGTTGTCTAAATTAACTTACATAACCTCATATTTTCCTTCTCGCACAAGGATAAAAAGATGTACGGATAATCCAGTGCTTCTATGCTTTTCATTTTAAAACTTGGGGTGCATAAAAAGAGCAAAGTCCTTATTGACCTTAGAGCGATGAGTTGCTTAAGTTTAGTAGTAGTCCACTTTGTCAACTTTGTTTCTTTCAAATATTTTGGATTATGATCTCTTTGTTTCAAATACAAACAAGCAATAATCATAGTATTGCAAGCAATCCATAAGTCCCCTACCGGTAAGAACCCCAGCAACACTCTGATGGGCCATTGGCCATTCAATTTTACCAGTGAATGAATGACATGAATGAACTTAAATCTTTTGAGTTCTAAGTTTGTCTATATCACAGTAATGCGTTAAGTTTCCCTGCCTAGTAAGGAGATAATGTTTATACAACAGATAATCAAAAGGTCCAATTTTCTCAGGATGAATAAGAATAACTAACGTTTCAACTTTTCTCTTTTTTAAGAAAATTTGTTGGAAAAAATCTTTAAAAGTGATTTCAGGAAACAGTTTTTAAGAACAGACAGGCAGACAGACAGACATACATACAGACAGACTGAAGGAGACTCTAAAGTTATTTTTTCAAATTTCCCTGTTACCAAAATATAACATATTTTAATGCAAAATTCTTAAAGAGAAGATAACTCTTGAAAAAAAGATGCTAGATTTATGAACATTGTCATATATAATGTGAGTTTTACTTTAAGTTTAATAGAATGAAGAAGTTGGAGTAAAAAAAAACAATTTCTCGAAAAAAAATCTAAGTTCAAGGGGGACATAATTCTGAAACATAGGCTTGCTAGAGTATTTAACCTTCTCAAAAATGTTGAGTGATAATAAAAAAAAACATATATATGAAGTTTGAAGTAGATACATTAGGAAATAAAGAAGTTATTTAAAAAAGACAACATTGTTTTCATAAAAATTCTGAGTTCAAGGGAGGTAATTCTGATACTTTTTGTGGTAGTGTTGTAAACCTTGTCACAAATGATGTGGTTGATGACCAAAAACTAATATTTAAAGTTTGAAGTAAACACCTTAAGAAATAAAGAACTTATAGTGAAAAAGGTAAAAATTTTAAATCAGAAATCTTGAAATTCAGTCTATTTGTTGCCATAGCAACCAGAATTTTGTCAACATAAAAAGAAAAGAAAAAAATGTGCATAATCTCCAGACTGCCATCTACCTATATTTTAAGTTTCATAAAAATATTTTCAGTTCTTTTTGAACTATCACTGGATCCAGTTTATGTGTTAAATTTGCCATATTTAGGGATTATTAGTTGCCATAGCAACCGGAATTTTTCAACATAGGAAGGAAAAAAAGACGTGCATAATCTCCATTATGCCATCTATCCATATATCAAGTTTCATGAAAATATTTTCAATATGTTTTTAGTTATTTCTAGATCCAGTTTATGTGTTAAATTTGCCATATTTTCAGACTATTAGTTGCCATAGCAACCAGAAATTTCAACATAGGAAAAAAAAAAGACGTGCATAATCTCAATACTGCCATCTAAAAAGGGATAGCTAATTTTAAATGGTATCTCCTGTCGCGAATGATCGCGATTATCTGTATTGGTTTTTCATTTCATAGTGGTAAATTGTTAAAGGATTTGTACTTATGATCAATGATGTATAGCGTTTATTATTATCTAGAAACTGCAAGAAATGATTGATGTATTTGTTCTGTTGAATTCTATAATAGTTTAGAATATACTAGTAATTTCATCTAGTATAATCTTTGATGGTATATATTGTAAGTATTTTGTCAATGTTCATTCAATCATTGATTCATTCTAAAAGGTGGAAGTATTCTGAAAAGTATTATAAAAAAGTATTCTTAAAAGTATGTTAAAAGTTGATTATTGTAAAGTGTAAAGTTGTTAAAGGTAAAAGAGGATTAAAAATAAAAGGTGAAACAAGACAAATGGATTGTTGTGCTTATTAAAAGGATTATAAAAGATAGTGTAAAAAGGATTATATTCCAGTGTGATGATTTTGAACCAGGATTTATAAAATACACAATTATTGCTCTCCCACAACATAGACTAAAAGAAACCTATAAAAGATCATCACATCTCCTGGTAGGAACCAAATTAAAAGAAGCCTACCATGAATAGAATATAAGTGGTAATTTATCTAAGAAGATTCAGATGTATTTTGAGAATTTATATTTTGTAAA